ACTCCCTGAAGACGTCACACATGACATCAATCAATCTTCATGATTGATGGACATCAAGAAGTCATGAGGAACAACGCTGATGCTGCTCCGGAAACAACATAACAATATGCTCAGCGATACATTAATCTGTAGACATTAACCAACAACTCATACCTAATAACAAGTCCCATGAAAAGGGGAACCTCTCTCTCTCTCTCTCTCTCTCTCTCTCTCTCTCTCTCTCTCTCTCTCTCTCTCTCTCTCTCTCTCTCTCTCTCTAACATATTTACCTTCCAAGCATTTATACTGCACAAGTTGATTACCAATTTCCTTTGATCCAACGTTTCTGCACATTTTTCGTTCGTAAGATAAGCTTTTAACATCCTCGCAACGTTCACAAATAAAAAGTTTTAACATCTTTCAAGAACATTGTGCATTCAATCCAGTCAGATCCTGCAAGACCTCGAAGGTCAGTCATGTTATTCTTCTCCAAGGTATTGCTAATATTACAGTCATAGGTCTTGTTGTCGTGTTGTATATGGTATGGTAGGTCTGTGGTTTCAGTGGGTTGGTGTTCTTGAGAATGGATTGGTGTTCTTGAGAGTGGGTTGGTGTTCTTGAAAGTGGGTTGGTGTTCTTGAAAGTGGGTTGGTGTTCTTGAGAGTGGGCTGGTGTTCTTGAAAGTGGGTTGGTGTTCTTGAGAGTGGGCTGGTGTTCTTGAAAGTGGGTTGGTGTTCTTGAGAGTGGGTTGGTGTTCTTGAGAGTGGGATGGTGTTCTTGAGAGTGGGTTGGTGTTCTTGAAAGTGGATTGGTGTTCCTGAGAGTGGGTTGGTGTTCCTGAGAGTGGGTTGGTGTTCTTGAGAGTGGGTTGGTGTTCTTGAGAGTGGGTTGGTGTTCTTGAAAGTGGGTTGGTGTTCTTGAGAGTGGGCTGGTGTTCTTGAAAGTGGGTTGGTGTTCTTGAGAGTGGGCTGGTGTTCTTGAAAGTGGGTTGGTGTTCTTGAGAGTGGGTTGGTGTTCTTGAGAGTGGGATGGTGTTCTTGAGAGTGGGTTGGTGTTCTTGAAAGTGGATTGGTGTTCCTGAGAGTGGGTTGGTGTTCTGAGAGTGGGTTGGTGTTCTTGAGAGTGGGTTGGTGTTCTTGAGAGTGGGTTGGTGTTCTTGAGAGTGGGTTGGTGTTCTTGAGAGTGGGTTGGTGTTCTTGAGAGTGGGTTGTTCTTGAGAATGGGTTGGTGTTCTTGAGAGTGGGTTGGTGTTCCTGAGAGTGGGTTGGTGTTCTTGAGAGTGGGTTGGTGTTCTTGAGAGTGGGTTGTTGTTCTTGAGAGTGGGTTGTTGTTCTTGAGAGTGGGTTGGTGTTCTTGAGAGTGGGTTGGTGTTCTTGAGAGTGGGCTGGTGTTCTTGAGAGTGGGCTGGTGTTCTTGAGAGTGAGTTGGTGTTCTTGAGAGTGGGTTGGTGTTCTTGAGAATGGGTTGTCTCTTAACTGTGTCTGGTCTATTAGTTGGGCAACTTGTTCTGTCAAGGAAAGCTGACAGCTGCCTCACGTTCATATACACATACATATACTCACCATTATACACTCACACTCCCCATTGCTCCCCTACCTTCACATTCTGAACCACTTTCCTCACATACTCATACTCATCTCCCATATTTACATATACTCTCACTCCTCATACGGTAGGCTACGCGAGAGGGAAAACCATGAGAAGTGTGCCAAGCAAAGGTGAGGACAGTCATGTGAGAGTAGTGATGAATCACACGCCAGACTCACTCTGTCCTGGAGACGACGTTCTCATCCTCTCACGCCTCCCTGATGAGTTTATTTTGACTCACTGTTGCTCTCTCTTACACTGTGACTCTCTCACTGATACTGTGACTCTCTCACCATCACTGTGACTCTCTCACCATCACTGTGACTCTCTCACCATCACTGTGATTCTCTCCCTCACATATTATTCCAGTAAATTCTCAGGACTTGTAAACAGACATCACAAACACCATAGTCACAGCCAGCCCGCGAAGAGGTAAGATTGGCTGAAATAAAACTGTCAGGATTGGAAGCATCAGAGGAGCTTAGGGCGGAGGGGAGCAGACCAGCCTAGAAGCTGAGGAAGAGTTTTATCAGGTCAGTGATGTAGTCAACATTGCCTGGGTGAACTTAAGCTCTTATTGATGAATATACATAATAATGGTGTATATTGGAATATACATCATTATAGTGTATAATATACATTATTATTCAACTGTCTCGGGAACAATTCATGAAGGTCAAGTTACCAAAAGCCAAACTGCTTAGCTATGCAGACTACTTTGTGGTCATCATCAATGGAAACGGTGCCCGGAATCATGCACAAAAATGCCTAGACATCATCAGTAGAGCAGCGGAACGCAGAGCAGTGAAAATAAACAGCAATAAAACCAAAGCAATGACCGTTAAAATGAGAACTCAAGACATCAGACTCGCAATACAAGGACACGAAATTGAGTGGGTTACCTCTTTTCAATACCTTGCAGTCATAATAGACAGCCAGTTGAAATTCACTCAAGAAATTGAATGTCTTCGGCACCGTTGTAAAGCCAGAAACTCAGCTTTGCGCTCCCTGACAAATCTTAGAGATGGTGCATCTCTACCAGTACTCAAAATGTTCTACGTTCAAGCAATTAGGTCATTAATTGACTCACCTAGTTGTCAGTACAACTAGGGGAGTATACACACACACACACAATAGATGCAGCCTCGCATCCCTTCCTAGAGACACCAATGAATTATTCCTGAACCACATGTCACGTGTGTGTGTGTGTGTGTGTGTGTGTGTGTGTGTGTATACTCACCTATTTGTGCTTGCGGGGGTTGAGCTCACCTGGTGTACAGGCTCCTAAGTCTACTGGGCTCTATCATATCTACACATGAAACTGTGTATGGAGTCTGCCTTCACCACATCACTTCTTAATGTGTGAGAGAGAGAGAGAGAGAGAGAGAGAGAGAGAGAGAGAGAGAGAGAGAGAGAGAGAGAGAGAGAGAGAGAGAGAGAGAGAGAGAGAGAGAGAGAGAGAGAGAGAGAGAGAGAGAGAGAGAGAGAGAAAGAAAGAAAGACTGACACACACACACACAGACAAAATGTGCTTCGAAGACTGACATTTCTAACCATTTAAAATTTAATAAACTCCTCAATTCTTTCGTTCATTTACGGAGGTAATTGTGTATATCATTTCTCTTACTTAATTCCGGTAGAATGTTCTCCTTGTCATTGAGGTGGCAGCGTGTCCTTGCCGTTGTTATTAAGCTTGTCTTAAGGGATTCCAAAGGTCCTAAGAAGTTCTGTATGCACGACAAAGGACGGTTGCTTCCTCATCCCGTCAATGACGGTAGCTATGTAGGTCACACGAACCTTCTCTTATGATATTATCGTATGTTAGACACTGACGTCGCCAACACTGATTAGTTCACCATGTAACTATTTAGTAGATGGATTTTTATAAACTACACAATAACATAATATTCACTTTAATGAATGGAAATAAATTAAAACTCTGTGTGGCATATATAACCACTTTTAATCATTAGTAATGATGAAATGGCGACAGAATCTTAATTCAGACGACAAAATCAGTCACAGGGACAAACAACTTGTATCACAGGAACTTTGTACTACATACGAAGGTAAACGTCGTCCATACTTAGTAATAAGTACAGAGCTCAAGGAATGTAAGAAGTGTCTCTTTAAGTACAAGACTCAGGCATGGTTGACACTGTGGGGTACAAGACTCTTGCATGGTAGACACTGTGGGGTACAAGACTCTTGCATGGTAGACACTGTGGGGTACAGATTCTAGCATGGTAGACACTGTGGGGTACAGGCTCTTGCATGGTAGACACTGTGGGGTACAGACTCTTGCATGGTAGACACTGTGGGGTACAGACTCTAGCATGGTAGACACTGTGGGGTACAGACTCTAGCATGGTAGACACTGTGGGGTACAGACTCTAGCATGGTAGACACTGTGGGGTACAGACTCTTGCATGGTAGACACTGTGGGGTACAGACTCTAGCATGGTAGACACTGTGGGGTACAGACTCTTGCATGGTAGACACTGTGGGGTACAGGCTCTTGCATGGTAGACACTGTGGGGTACAGACTCTTGCATGGTAGACACTGTGGGGTACAGACTCTAGCATGGTAGACACTGTGGGGTACAGACTCTAGCATGGTAGACACTGTGGGGTACAGACTCTAGCATGGTAGACACTGTGGGGTACAGACTCTTGCATGGTAGACACTGTGGGGTACAGACTCTTGCATGGTAGACACTGTGGGGTACAGACTCTTGCATGGTAGACACTGTGGGGTACAGACTCTAGCATGGTAGACACTGTGGGGTACAGACTCTTGCATGGTAGACACTGTGGGGTACAGACTCTTGCATGGTAGACACTGTGGGGTACAGACTCTCGCATGGTAGACACTGTGGGGTACAGACTCTAGCATGGTAGACACTGTGGGGTACATGATTCTGGTTTGGTGTCATTGTATTCATCACTGATGTCACACCAACAAGGAAGACAATTCAGCACATTTCCTGATCCCTTTCTTGAATATGAATGCGAGAGATAGTGCCAAGGTTGACGAAGTTTGAACCAAACTCCTCACCTTTCATCTCCCTCTCTTACCTTATTTATTTGTCTGTCTCTTCCTCTCTTTCTAGAACCTGACTTGGTAATCTTCCAAGACGAACCGAATCGTTGTCGTTTCTCACTTTTCAGATGTGTGGTTTGGTCACCACTGAAACGTTCCGTCAACAAAGTCTCCTGTTGTAATAAGTACAGACCTGAATGTCTCTGCCAAGACTACGATAAAGGGTGTGTGTCTCTTTTCCATTTCTCAATTTCTTTTCGTCTTCTTTTCCATCGCTGCTCTTCTCTCCTCTCTCACCTCCGGAAGCAGGAACCGGCTCTACCTGGGGTAACAGATAAATTCACCACTGGACATCGGGAGTGCGGCTGGTGGCGTCCCCTATATATATGTTGTGAAGGACTCTGGCACTCAGTAGCTCTGGCTAGCTTAGAACCACTACAAGATGAAGTTTGTGAGTAAAGCTCTTTCTTGTTAAAGGTTTTGAATGAAGACGTTTGGCAGCACTTTGGTAATTTTTTATTTAATCACAGCTAACAATTACAGATAAATGGACTAAAGATTTATTAAGCAATTATTCACTCTACAGTAAAGCTAAATTAAATGTCAGAATGAGAAACTTTCGTTTGTAACGAATCTGTACTAAATGTTTCAGTTTTGGGTCTAAGACCTAAGTTGATGAACTTGTAAGTTAATAATGGACTTGTGAGACATACTGATAGTCCAAGATGCTTACAGTTAGTCTCGGGAGACTCGCGATGACCACATATAAGTGAACATCAGACTCTAAGAGAACATCTACCTAAGAACTACATACATTTAGGAACAAATACTAGAATAAATGTACATAACGTTATTGGCTCCACAGCCTCCACAGTTCATGCAGGGCCACCTGGATCACGCTGACTATGGACACATAGTTCATGTAGGGACACCTGGATGTTCATGATTATTAGGGAAATAATGGACTATAATGCCGCTCTATGGTTGGCCTCCCATTCTTGTCTGTGTCCACTCTATTTCCGCGCTCACTGTTGACTTTACTTTCCTCTTGATAGATACAGACGCATCCAGCTTAGGACACTTCTCATGCACTAGCCAGATTTTCAAGCTTGAGAAGTGCTAGTCAGAATCACTAGAAACATGCAGGTAAAAGCGGTCCTAATGGCGCAGTGGTAAGACTCGCCTGGCGCTTTACAAGCGTTATAGCCTGGGTTCGTATCTTGGTTGGGGAGGATTGACCGGGGTGCCAGTCCTTAAAGGTAGCCTCTGATCACCCAGTACTGATTGGGTACCTGGTTGTTAAACGATTTGTTGGGTCGTATTCCGAGGAATAATTAGGATTAAGGACCTGCCCGAAACGCTATACGTGCTAGTGGCTGTACAAGAATGAAAGAACTCTTGTATGTATTAAAAATATATATAAAAAAATTGCAAGGGATGCTTGTTATTGATAACAGTTTATCAGTTAATGTCAATTCTCGCTCGTGTAGAATGGAACAACACCTGTCGGTTTCTGGCAGTTTGGTGGGTCAATTCCAGTGAGAGGTTGACAGCAATAGCAATGATTAAATGCATCGTGCATCTGCTACCTGCTATAGTAAGCAGGTCTGAATCTGTGGTTGTTACCACTTCTAATTTCTTTAGATACTTATGTGTAACATCCATTTTGATGAGTCTTTTTTGTGGGTGTGTTCTTTGTTCGTGAGACAGGTCTGGGTACAGCTTGAAAACGTCCTGAGATCTTTTATTCAATATTTCACATACTTCCTTATCATTCTCTAATATGTTCCGCTTAATTTTTTATGTTATCTCATTACTTGGTCCTTCACAAACCCTAATTGACATTTCTTGTTCCATAATCCCAATATCCATTTCATAATTAATGAAGACTATTTCCGGCCAAGTTTAATACTGTGTTGTTCCTGGTGCAGAACCTGGTGTTCCTGGTGCTCCTGCTCTCCGTGGCGATGGTCTTCGCCACCTTTGGCAAGAAAGGTGGCGGCGGAGGCTTGTTTGGTGGCAAGAAAGGCAAGGGCGCCGCCCCTCCTCCGCCTCCCCCTCCGCCTCCTGTCAGAGTGATTCCCTACCCCGTCTACTACGGCGGCTATGGCGGCTATGGCGGCTATGGCGGCGGCTATGGCGGCTATGGCGGCGGCTACGGCAGATAAACTCACCAACTGGAAGTTGGAACGTTGATCGGGGACAAATGTTAGCGCTCATGCGCTCATCTTTCTTCATGCTGTGCATGACAAATAATACTTATTTCATCATATATTTTTGTATATTTGTAGCAAGAACTTATTCCTTTTCAGAAGACCTCCAAGTGAGGTTAAAATAGTCTAATCTCTGTTAGGTCATGTAATTAAGACCTCTCATCTTGCCTACTCGCTGCCAATGGATAGCTCTGTGTCCCTCTGTGAATATAATCAGCATAAACAACATTACAAATGCTATTCCCCACGGAGGCTAGCAGCTAGCACATGGACCCCACCTGACCACTTGCTTAGCTCATCGGCAGTGCGACATTGAACACAACAACCTTCAACAGATGTTGCTGTCATTAGGCAGAGCTTCTCAGCTTTGCTTCAATCGCATTGTTCCAACTATATCTCAACAGCTTGCTGATTGGTCAGTTGCTGGAGGAACAGATGTTTCAACAACAGGTCCTAGTATCACTAGTGGGACCATCCACCATCGTATATTGTATCATCTCCAGCTTTCATGACCTAGATGTTCACTTATTGAACATCTTGGATATTTACCAAGAGCCTGCTCCTTCTGATTCAGTCAATAAATAAATGAAATGACCACAAATGTGTTTCTCTTAATCAAATTCATGTCATATATTATATATATATATATATATATATATATATATATATATATATATATATATATATATATATATATATATATATATATATATATATGTATAACAACAGAGCTCTATTAAGGAACATGTAATCTCCACACACACACCCAGATCATCACCAGAGACATCCTAACAAGCAACGCTGAAATAATCGACAGATATAACGACAGCAGGAGACTGGACATCTGCGAGGCGTTACATATCAAGAAGTCCAGACCAGCAATCAACAACCAGCTAACATATAATTGCATTCTACCCACTTCAAGACCCCGAGCCAACTCAGAGACAGCATCCAATGACCTTATCTAACGAACATCAGCTGCCCTGTTGATGCCTTTAGTACCCAATTAATACCTCTGATCCTTTTATTCATTGATACATTTAATACAAAATTAATTCCCCCTTGTTATGGCATTCATCCACCACCTCATCCAATGAGTATATAGTCCGATGTTAAACCCGGTAACATTGTCTTTAAAAATGTAACGTGTATCTTGCGAAACGCATCCCTAGGCATCAGACTATAATAAAGTGTAAAAATGAACTTTGGAGAGTTAATTTTTCAACTTCCCTCGACAGTGAAGAAAAACATTAGAAATATTAAGATGATTCGTCTTGGAATCTTTAATCTTACCCTTCCGGTCATATTCAACAATAATATATATATATATATATATATATATATATATATATATATATATATATATATATATATATATATATATATATATATATATATATATGTATAGGTTCCCACCAGTGCTGGTTCCACGTTCCTTTTTCCTACCACCCCCTTCTTTTTTTCATACTGCTATTTTATTATATATTTTTAAAAGTTAAAAGATACTGGTTGGTGAATGTAAGGTTAAAAGTTGTGAATCCCTTGGAGCTACTCAGCTTCCGAGCCGGAACCGAGGATAAAGCAGGTGTTTCCTTTCTGAATCGCCATACTAAGGTGCTGAAACAGAAAAGTGGCAACTCTAGGGTCTCTGGTAGTGTCTATAAGCCTAGAACCCAATTTTTTGATAGAGTACTCCTGGCATCCTTTCCCCAGGGTCCCAGTGTATCAGATGCTATGGGGGCAAATGTAGTGTAAACAGGTGTCAGCCAGGGTGCATACACATGGGTAGTCCCACACAAGCTTCTTGCTTTACCTCCAGGGTTGTATTGTGATATCATCCAGGCAAAGCTCAGGCTCTTTGGGGTTTGTGACTAGAAGAAACGAGGTTCTCTCTCTGCTGGACACTAGGCTGGGACAAGATTCCTCTTGATGATGTCATTAACTTCAATGCGACTTGCTTGCCAACCATTGGAGCCGACATATAAGACGACCGTGCAAGGCTTTTATGTTAGCTTTCACCCTGTGGTATATACCTTGTCCTCGGAGTAAATTAGGAGGGTCTCTGGATCAAGACGTATATCTGTTGCAGACACAGGTACTGCAAGAAAGAAATATCCCATCACGGGTGGCACCAACAGCTCTAAAGCAAGCTATCCCTTATTGTGACGGTGCAATATTCAACTCGTTCTCGTACTCTCTTACAGTCAATATTGACTTATTAAATAAGTGCATATGTGACATACTAATTTATTGTGAATATTTTAGTTTACCTTGAAAATCTTCATAGAAAACACTGACCTTACCTAACATTCTTAGTATGTTAAGATCAACATCTTCTTGCTTCGTAATTACAATTATTACTTAACCTATACCTATAATAGGTTAAGTAGTAATTGTAATTACGAAGCAATAACATGCTTATCTTAACATACTAAGAAGGTTAGGTAAGGTCGGTGTTTTCTATGAAGCTTTTCAAGGTAAACTAAAATATTCACAATAAATTAGTTTGTCACATATGCACTTATTTAATAAGTTAATATTGACTATACGAAAGTGCGAGAATGGGTTGCATTATTGGGCATGGTCTCAACTTTTTTCTCCGCCGCTGGGCTGTGCCAACTAGACTGTTTGTGAGAAAATCCGTATGAGCCGTGATGTCTCTCTTTGATACATCACTTTAGTTTGATTGCTCTCTGTGGACTGTTTGTGTTTCTGAGTGGTCTGGTCTGGGCGCTCAGGCTGCAACTTCATGTCACTGACTGTAATAATCAATGAAGGCAGGATTGTGTATCCCTAAGGAATCACATAGGTCTTCTGGTAGGATTTCTTTTACAAGACTGTTCGATACAGAGGAGGAGGAGGAGGAGAAGAGAAAAGCTAGCATAGAAATCACTAGGGCTGTGTGCATACCAACGCCTCCAAGTCTGATGATAAAAGTTGATGGTTTCCACTGAGTCATCTAGGGAGAAAGAGTGAGGACTCTTTCTAACAAGAACTTCAAAACCGTCACACTCACTTAACTAAACCATGCTGTAGGATGAACACCTCACAAAGTTAGCGTGGAGAGATATGGTGAAGAATGAAGACACAGAAGGAACCAGGAGCATAATTTTGTTCAGTCCCGTCTTCCATCCTCTTTAGGTCAGTGATTTTCTGTATGTAGGTCTTCCTCGATTGCATGAAACCAAGAAGGAGAGGGGGGCGGGAGAAGCACATCGGTGGGGGCAATCCACTGGCTCAGTTTCGAAGCTGTCTGGCAGGATCTCGTACTTGACCAATAATATGTAAGTTAAAAGTAACTATTTCACACTGGGCTGCCTTAAGAATGATATCTACATTTCCTCCCAGCTCTTGGATTTTGCTGAGGTCTTCCAGAAGAGCCACTACGTTACTGGCAAGAGAGCCCAATCAAAATAACGTGGCTGAAGATTAGACCTGATTATCTTCAGGTCCCTCCCTCGACTAATTAGAAGATTAGTCCAGGAGGGACCGAAACGTCGTCCATTCTTCATATTCAGATTTGTGGGTTGGGTGATTGGAGGCGCCGTCAGTCATAAACCAAATGATTAGCTCGCTGGTCACACTATCGGGATTGACTGGGTATAATACTGAACTGGAAGTGGTGTTGCTGAATTACGGAACACGTTACTGGGTAACATAATAGACGTGGAACCACGTGATTGTTTCAAGCAGAGTTAGACATATACATGAATGAGTTTAGGTGGATATAAAGATGAGCTGCCTCATATGAGTCAATATAGGCTTACAGTTTACTTAATTCCTTTGCTCTTACGATTATGTTCAATCCAATAAGTAAAATAAATTCTTTAACCCGATTAAGTTATTGAGAAATCCATGATAATTATGCCAATACTATATTCTTGCCTTCCAGAGATTTGCTGAGTCAGTTACTCATAGTGATTTGAACATACTATGACCATCACCGCCATCACAGTAAGAGGAAGAGCGCCCAGCACATATCCTGACATCTTTGTTGAATACGAATGTGAGCGAAACAGGTCAAGGCTGGTGAAGAATAAAGGCAGATCAGTGCTCACAATGCAAAATAAATGTCTTCTTTTTAATACGTAGAGACCTGAGTGTCGGTGCCTCGACTGGAAACGAGAAGTCACGTCTCTGTTACATCTGTTTATGGCCTCTTCTTTTCCATCGCTGCTCTTCTCTCCTCTCTCACCTCCGGAAGCAGGAACCGGCTCTACCTGGGGTAACAGATAAATTCACCACTGGACATCGGGGGTGCGGCTGGTGGCGTCCCCTATATATATGTTGTGAAGGACTCTGGCACTCAGTAGCTCTGGCTAGCTTAGAACCACTACAAGATGAAGTTTGTGAGTAAAGCTCTTTCTTGTTAAAGGTTTTGAATGAAGACGTTTGGCAGCACTTTGGTAATTTTTTATTTAATCACAGCTAACAATTACAGATAAATGGACTAAAGATTTATTAAGCAATTATTCACTTTACAGTAAAGCTAAATTAAAACTCAGAATGAAAAATTTACTTTGTAACGAATCTGCACTAAATGTTTCAGTTTTGGGTCTAAGACCTATGTTGATGAACTTATAAGTTAATAATGGACTTGTGAGACATACTGATAGTCCAAGATGCTTACAGTTAGTCTCGCGAGACTTGTGATGACCACATATAAGTGAACATCAGACTCTAAGAGAACATCTACCTAAGAACTACATACATTTAGGAACAACTACTAGAATACATGTACATAACGTTATTGGCTCCACAGCCTCCACAGTTCATGAGGGGCCACCTGGATAACGCTGACTGTCAATACATACAGTTCATGTAACAGACTAAATCTATAAGATTTAGACAGCTTGGTGGTAGTAAGGTAGAGAGTTAAGTCTTAGAGATGGACTGACCAATCGGGATGTGGTTAGCCTTGAATAATTCAGTAACGTCTAACCGCAAGGACATGGGGACGTGCAGTGGATAGGAATTAACGACGGAGGAGGACGTGTGTGGATAGGAACTAAGGCCATATATGCGCATAAGGGTGGACTCTGGCACCGATAATGGTGGAATTTCACTTTTTTACCTACATCTTATCTAATATTTCTGCTCCTTATGTGACCCATTGTTTTCTTCCTATAAGGGACTTTTTTTCCGCCACCTAAGCACTCTAACGCATGCAACTGCCTGATTCACAAGCTTGAGTATAAGTGCCTCATGTGTGTTGCTTATTCTCTCACGTTCATAGATGTTCAAACAGGTCAGGTTACAGCTCTGAAAACGTCCTCAGAACTTTCATTAAGTTCTTCTCATTCCTCTTAATGGTTCTCCATATATCGCGCATCTCATCTGTGTCTTCATCTGGTCATTTGCAAACATGTCTCCCATTCACATTTTACGTCCACTTCATCCTTAATGAAGTAAATGCTTAGGTCTTCATTCATCCGTAATTCTGGCCAAGTTTAATACTGTGTTGTTCCTGGTGCAGAACCTGGTGTTCCTGGTGCTCCTGCTCTCCGTGGCGATGGTCTTCGCCACCTTTGGCAAGAAAGGTGGCGGCGGAGGTTTGTTTGGTGGCAAGAAAGGCAAGGGCGCCGCCCCACCTCCGCCTCCCCCTCCGCCTCCTCCTGTCAGAGTGATTCCCTACCCCGTCTACTACGGCGGCTATGGCGGCTATGGCGGCTATGGCGGCTATGGCGGCTACGGCAGATAAACTCACCAACTGGAAGCTGGAGCGTTGATCGGGGACAAATGTTAGCGCTCATGCGCTCATCTTCCTTCATGCTGTGCATGACAAATAATACTTAATATTTCATCATATATTTTTATATATCTGTAGCAAGATCTTATTCCTTTTCAGAAGATCTCCAAGTGAGGTTAAAATAGTCTAGTCTCTGTTAGGTCATGTAACTAAAACCTCTCATCTTGCCTACTCGTTGCCAATGTGTAGCTCTGTGTCCCTCTGAGAATATACTGTGCCAGAACAACGCCACAGACACCGAGCAAGTAGTACACAGCCTCGTCTGGGACACGAACTTACTTCATCCCGTCCGAGGCGACTCCCTGCGGTCACAACCTCCTAAAGGGGTTGCCGTCTCCCAGACAGCTTCTCTGTCTTGAAAACTGCATCTCATCAACGTGCTGCTTGGCCAGTGTCTTCAACAGCAAGACCCGTGGCTTAATCTCCAGCTCCCACGATTCGCAGTCGTTCACTTAATACTATTTCATGCAGGACGGCGTTCAATCCCCAACCGTCCAAGTGGTTGGGCACCATTTCTTTCCCCCGTCCCATCCCAAATCCTTATCCTGACCCCTTCCAAGTGCTGTACAGTCTTAATGGCTTGGCACTTTCTCCTGATATTCCCCTCCCTCACTTAATGTTCTAGGATCATTCACCTTGAGTCTGTTCTTGTTAACTCACTAAGTACATAAATATAATGACCATACATGTGTTTCCCTTTACCATATTCTTGTCACTACTGCACATTGAGGTTTCTAGTTTATATCACTCACAGTTGGCTTTGTTTTCGACTCCTAATCAGGGATACCGGCTTCGATTCCCGGCGGAGAAGAAATGATTTGGGCTCGTTTCATATATCCTAATGCCTCTCCTCACTTATAGACGTAAATAGGCACCCAGGAGTTAGGCATTTGTTGCTGGCTCGCATCCAGGGAATAGTCAATAGTTCGATCTTGCGGAGCCTCGATACAAGCCTAAAGTATATTTGTGACCATTGGGAAGTTGGCTCGAGAACCATTCATGCTTTACGCACACTAAATGCTCATGTGGCCCCTAGCATCGTGAAGTGATTTGATGAAATATTAGTGCCCAATAATGACAGGAGTGTTGTCGGGTGTTGGGTGCATGCAGATCTCACGACGTCCCACCATTTTTGACAGTCGCTGGCAGAGTGATTACAGCACTGGACTACAGGGGGGCATGAAGACCCTGGCTGACCGGTTTCGAATCTTTTCAGGGGTCAAGAGTTTTCGGTTATATATGTGGCTTATGGGCAGGTAGGTAGCACAAGAGTGGGTAGGGCCCTAGACGACAGGTAATATATATATATTGGTATATTTTGGTAGCAGTCTTTCTTGTACATATATGTTGTTGAATATGATCGAAAGGCTAAGATTAATTATTCTAACACGAATCTTCTCAATATTTCTTCACTGTCGAGGGAAGTTGAAAAATTAACTCTCCAAAGTTCATTTTCACAATTTATGGTCTGACCCCTAGGGATGCGTTTCGTAAGGCACTCTTTACATTTTCAAAGACAAATTTTCCATGTTTTTGTTGTTGTTTAAGATTCAGCTACTGGGAACCGAAAGTTCCAAGTAGCACGGGTTATGGTGAGCCCGTAGTGGACTTGGCACAGATGACTGTGCCAACCCCAGGAGCGGGGTTGTAACTTTGAAATTTTCCAATGATAAAGATTAAGCCACCCAAGAGACAAGAAATTTCCCATGCTCTGCCAAGACTTATATTCGCTTGGGGTGAGGTGGTATAGGACGTGATTGAGATGAACAAGTGGATGAATGGCATAATTAATATTACAAGGCTATTAAATGCCTATGTTCTTGCCTCTACTGTCTCTGCGTTAGTTCGGGGTCTTGAAGAATGTACAATGTAATTATGTGTTAATTGGCTGTTGCTCACTGGTCTTGACGTCTTGATGTGTAGTGCCTCGCTGATGTCGAGTCTCCTGTTGTCGTTATACCTGTCGATTATTTCAGTGTTGCTTGTTAAGATTTCTCTGATGATGGTCTGGTTGTGTGAGGAGATTATATGCTCCTTGATGGAGCCCTGTTGCTTGTGCATTGTTACTCGCCTTGAGAGAGACAACAACGTCTCTCTCATCCCAGTATACAGTGGGACTTTCCAGCATACACAGGTACACCCCAGCATACACAGGTACACCCCAACATACACAGGAACACCCCAACATACATAGGTACACCCCAACATACACAGGTATACCCCAGCATACACAGGTACACCCCAACATACAGGTACACCCCAGCATACACAGGTACACCCCAGCATACACAGCTACCATAACACAAGATAACGTAGTTTGTAAGTCTTCACACAATTATTCAATGAACGAACAAAGAAAATACGCGATTCCCAAATAAATTTAAAAATAATGTATTACCATGGATCTCTAACTTACAAATCGCCACAAAGGAAGAAACACGTAAGCTGGCAGCTTGAAGAACAGGGTGAATTACGAAGCTGTAGAACTGTTGAAAAGCTTTATCCAGGGAGCTTGTGATGCCAATTTGCTGGAAATGGGTCCTCTGGCGTTCTCAGATAGTATTGTCCAGCATCATGAACGTGTAGCATCAACACGATGCGACGTGCAGTAGTTCATAAAGCTGTTCACTTGAGACAGTTAAGCAAGTCCCAGCTGTGTCTGGGTTCAAGTGACAGTATGAACAACCCAGCGGGTTTTCTTCCTATTGGGGAGTGCTGTACATGCTGGTATGGCGGTGTGTTCACTCACAGGATGAGTGGAGCTGCCCAATAAACTCGCCCCTCGCGGCAAAATTAAAAAACAATAACTAATGGAGCGTCTTGATATTAGCATCGAGTTTATAAACAAATCCCGACAGATTGAGTTCCATAAGAGTATAAGTGTATTTGTACAGTAAAGAGAAAATCTGATTAAAATTGATGAAGAGAGAGGATCACATTTTAGAGAGTAATTGAGCAAGCGGAGTATTGAACAGATCAGAAACAATTAGTCCCTTTTATTGAATTTGATTTCCGTATGTCGATATTCATGACGACAGCTTTATGAATACACTCAAGACTGTAACACTACAGCGTGCTCCAGGAGAATCAGCCTACAGAATTGGAAAATTAGTTAATGGACTTTAACCCCGTCAAGAGAAGAGCAGGAAACGTGTAGCCCGTTCGTGGACTCCAAACGTGAAATTGTATTAAAAAAGATTACGAGAAGAAAAGCTTGTGTCACAGCAATGGGGATTTACTGCAAATCCCTTTACTACAAGTAATCCTCGTAACTACACAGCTACAAGGATTACTTGGAGAACCTGACCTTACTCCACGGAAGGAAATAAAATATAAGGGCATGATAATAGCATAAAATATAATAAAGGTAAATGTCAGTGTGGACGAGGTCGCAAATGTTAAAGTGAGAATCAGCAGAATGATTGGAAACAAGAGATAACACAACACTTTAATGTAAAATTAGTAAATAGGCTGAATTGTTTGGAAACATCAATTGAAGCACACTAAATAAAGAAAGAGGGAGAAATTTATTGTATTAAGCTTTTAATACATCCAAAGGAGGGGCCTAACAGCTAGAGCTATACCTTGAATACCACATGTAGGTGAATACATAGACGCACAAAGACACGTTCAAAGACCTGCTCTCTCTACAGATATTAAAACAATACGCATACTTAACAGAGAGAAAGCGATTGGGAGTCAAGAGCAGTTTAATTACGGTAACCGACACACTCTTTGTGTGTGAATACTCACCTAGTTATGCTTGCGGGGGTTGAGCTTTGGTTCTTTGGTCCCACCTCTCAACTATCAATTTACTGGTGTACAGATTCCTGAGCTTCTTGAGCTCCATCATATCTACATTAAAAACTGTGTATGGAGTCAGTCTCCACCACACCACTTCCTTGTGCATTCCATTTACTATAACTTCTTTGACACTGAAAAAGTTCTTTCTAATGTCTCTGTGGCTTATTTGGGTACTCAGCTTCCACGTGCGTCTCCTTGTGCGTGTTCCACCCGTCTTAAAAAAAAAATCCTTGTCTACCCTGTCAATTCCCCTGATAATTTTGTATGTGGTGATCATGTCTTCCAGAGCTCTTCTGTCTTCCAGCGCCGTGAGGTGCAGTTCACTCAGCCCTTCCTCGTAACTCATGCCTCTTAATTCTGGGACTAGCGTGTGTGTGTGTTTGTGTATACTCGCCTTCATGTGCTTGTATGATAGAGCATTCAAACCACTGCTCAGCTAATGCAATATCTTTTATTCCAAATGTTTCCGGTGGTACTCTCCTTTAAGGCTGCTTATGGAGGCGGTCAGGCAATATCTTCTTTGCGGCCCATTACACTTGATCGCATCTCTTACTCTAATGAAAACTTTCCTGATGTCTCTCCGGCTCATCTGCGTCTCCACCCGCGTCTCAGGATGCTGCTGTTTCTCATCTGATCACTGCTTTTTTGTCCCCTGAAATTTTCTCTCTGTATCTTATATGTTGTTATTATATCTACCTCGTTTCTTCTTTCCCCTAAAGCTATTAGGTAGGTTTCTCTTACTCTCTCGATGTAACTAAGTCCCTACACTTTTTGGAGCCAGTTTGATCATATATTATACAAGGGAACATTCCGAGCCCTGTACAAAACCTGTGTAAGTCTCATTCCTCAACATGCAGTTCTGTCATGGGTGGAAAAAGAAAGTTAAAAGTAGTGAAATGTAAAATATACACAACAAGGCTACTTCCAGACTTGAAGGTCTTGAGATGTGAGGAAAGAAGTAGGAAACTAGTCTTCACCTCACAGGAAGAGAGAATAGGGAAGATGGGATAAAGAAATATGAGATACTAAGAAGAATTGACTAGACAAAAAAGCATTATTCAAAGCATCAGAAGAAAGAGATTACTTAGAAGGGAACTGAAGTCCTAGACCCCCTGCTTCTTGTCCTGTCCAACCAGGCTGTTAGGTGCAACTTCTCGCAGTCTGGCGGATGATGAAGCAACTTTTTTTTTAATCAACTCAGTTTCAGACCTTCTGTTCACTGGGGTTTTATATCATGCTATGATTCTTGCAGATTTAGTTCAATCGCTTTCATTTACACGCACATTAACATCCTAGTTGTTCCATGGAGAGAGTGGGACGCCGGAGCTGTTCTGTGACTGGTTTTCTTCACCTATAGAAAGAACTTCTACAGTGTCAGAGATGCCAATAAGTGAAAGAGATTAGATGGAAAAGTTATTCAAAGAAGTTCAAGACAATTGTGAATGCAAAATTGGAAATAAAAAGTCAAAGGAAATCTGTGATGAAATCTGACACACACATACATACATACACATACACACACACACACACACACACACACACACACACACACACACACACACACACACACACACACACACACACACAGGCGTGCGCACACACCCACACACACAAAGTGTAGGTCGGTAACCTTAAGCTTCTCGCACCATCCAATTACTGGTTTGCTGTCCACGTAAATATTGGGCAATGATGGGCCATGTAAAGTGCCGAACAGTTTCGTTTTCTCTACTTGTTTATGCAGTCAGTTACAGTAATTGTGTATAGGAGAAGTGTGTGCATGAGTACTCAGCGGTGTTTGCAGGGGTTGAGCTTTAACTCCTGAGTCCCGGTTTTTATGTCGGCAGTCTGATGTGTCTCAATAACTTGACTCTTCAAGACTAGTTATTTCTTCTGTTATCATAATGGATAATATTAGTCTCTGATTTTCCTTCTAATTTTTTCAAGATTTTCATTATCATCATTTAGTTGCCTTCCAAACACTAGTGTGTGCTTGTTCGGTTGCTGTTCTTCCTCTCTGTGGCTCACATACTTGTTCTCTTGTTCTGTTGCTGTTATTGCTCTCTGTGGCTCACCTGCTTGTTCTTGTTGCTGTTCTTCTCTGTGGCTCAACTGCTTGTTCTGTTACTGTTGGTGTTATTCCTCCCTGGGGTTCACTTTCTTGTTTTCTTTGCTGATATTCCTGTTAAATGTTCTGTCAATTATAGATGATAACTAATTATAACTAGAGACAGGTGAGTCTGACTGAAGCGGATCACTCGCGCCAAAGATTCTTCATCAAGGAAACTGTTTTCAAAAAATTGTGTGACCCGGTGTGCAGGCGTCGGGTTCAAAGTCACAGGTTGGCCAAAAGGTGGAAGGAGAACGAACCAGCGCTCTCAGTACCCAAAGTGGCACCCATCTTCCCTGCCCTCCTGTAGCAGGAGCCGGAGTGTGGCGTACCCAGCAGGGCGCTCCCCCTTTCATTAAGTAGGATCTGGTTCATGCAGGGAGAGAGTAAGGGAGAGAGAGTAATAGAAAGCTCGTGAAGCTAACCTTGCGACATCTGGAAGCCGGTTGGTGGTGCATATATACATGTTGTGGGCGACTCCGAGGACCAGTCAAGAGGCGCAGGTAACCCAGAGCTGCTTCAAGATGAAATGTGTAAGTAGGAAATGTTTTTGTGTGGAAGGCATCCATTGTAGATGCTTACTTTGTTTCTATTAAGGCAACTGGCCACTGCAGACAGATCACTGACGAAATATATTTCACTATGCTTTGAATAATAGCACAACTGAAGACTGAGATGTGTTGGCGATGAGTCACAATAACGTGGCTAACGTATGTTGACCAGACCACACACTAGAAGGTGAAGGGACGACGACGTTTCGTTCCGTCCTGGACCATTCTCAAGTCGATTGAGAATGGTCCAGGACGGACCGAAACGTCGTCGTCCCTTCACCTTCTAGTGTGTGGTCTGGTCAACACTGAGATGTGTTACCACTATAGCAACCAGAGGAGTTGTAGCGCAGTCCATTAGAGTAATCCTTGCCTTGTTCCTCCTACAGCTGCTGCTCCTGCTGGTGCTCCAGCTGGCCGTGTCGGCGGTCTTCACCAACCCCATCTTCGGGTACGGTGGCTCTGGCTGCGATAATAAGTTCGGCTTAGGGTGTCCAAGCAACCTTAATAAGTTTGTTGATGGTTCTACCGTTGCTGACAGAGTGCGCGCCGGTTATTTTGGTTTAAGAAACAAGGGCTTACGAGGATCTAGTACTGACAGCGTGTCTCCTCCTGCGGTCCAAGTGATCCCCTACCCACAGAACCGAGGCGGTGGCTATGGCGGTTGGAATTATGGTGGCTATAGCGGCTATGGCAGCTATGGCGGCTATGGCGACTATAGCGGCTACGGCGGCTATGGCGGTGGTGGGTACAGCAGCGGAATTTAAGGAAGATTTAAATGTGGTGACTAATTTGAAAGTGGTTAGGGAGGCTGGTAGTAGTGGGAGATTGTTATCAACACCGTCAATAACTGATGTGAGAAACCCACTGTTATAAAGTGACTTCTCTCAGAGATAAATCTCACGGTTCGCTGTTATGATGATCTGGAGAATATTTATTATTTACAAGATATGAAAATCATTGATCTCGTGATGAAATACAGCTGGATTTGTCAATACATTTTTGCACGTTTCTTCAATTTACTGAGAAAACCCAAGTGCCCAGCCATGTGAAGGTGAACATTGATGTGACTACCTCTGATGAAACCATTGATATAACCATTGATGTGACTACCTCTGATGGGACCATTGATGTGACTACCTCTGATGAGACCATTGATGTGATCACTGATGTGACCATTTATGGGACTATTGATGTGAAATAGATGTGAGATCAGATATTACCATTGATGTGATCTCTCATGCGACCATTGACGTGACCCCTCATGTGACCATTGATGTTACCACTCATGTGACCATTGATATGACCTTTCATGTGACCATTGATTTGACTCCTGATATGACCCTGGATGTGACGCATGATGTTACCCTTGATATCAACAATTGATGTGACTTCTGATTTAACCTTTCGATGTGACCAATGATGTGATCTCTGATATACGACTCTGGATGGGACCTCTGGTGTTACCCTGGATGTGGAATCTTGACGTGACTCCAGATTTAACCACTGATATGACCTCTGATATATGACCCTTGGATGAGAGCATTGATGTGACCTCTGAATTGACACTTTGCTACGAACTTACTGATAATACTTTGCCGAGATTGTAATATGAACTGAGATTATAATATGTATATTGTGTTTAGTACATATTCCTTTACTATACATTTCTTACATTTGATAGGAGGATATGTCGAGGAATGAATGTAAAGTTTAACTTACTGGTTTAATAAGTACGTCTACAGCCATTGGGGGATAAGAATAACTGACAGAAACCACTCTCTCTCATATCACGTTTTCTGTTGAACTACAAAAATATGTGAGTGAGCAATCCGTCCTCAGGCCAGGCTCGTTAAAGCAGCGGCCGTTGACCCCCTGCAGCCCCTCTCACACGCATTTATCAACTTTAACATATTCAAAGGGGATTGTTACTAAAATAAAAATGTATTTTAATATATTTAAGCATATTGTGCATATTTGTGTAGATTAGGTTAAGTTTAGGTGTTTATGGTCTGTCTGATACGTATTTGTATTTGAAGTATCTGGGTGAAGCATTTAAAGTGTTGTGGTTCAAAAAGAGGTCGTCAGGGAAGCACTGTTCGAGAAAAATTCGAACGTCATCAGTTGACTCGTGTGTTACAGCTTGTCCTCATCAACAAAGACCAAATGCTCGCAAATTCACCCACCAACCTCCCTTGTTTATGAATTAAAAACGGTTTACACGCGACTCACTACTAATAATATTCGAACATTTCTCGAGCAGTGCTTCACTGACGAACTCTCTTCGTACATCAACGCTGTAAGCAGCCCGTCCTCCAAACAAAGGTAATAGTTAAAATAATTGGTTTACCACAAGTTACTAGTCATGTTTCTGTTAAGGTTTGACCTTTACGCTGTAAAGGTATCAACTTGAGAATGGTCCAGGATGGACCGAAACGTCGTCGTCCCCTCAATTTCTAGTGTGGTTTGGTCAACTTTATGCTGTATATTGAGTCCTTGTTATCTGTAATGTGATGTTTCTGTTAACAACTTAGGGTTATTTATAAATATATGTCTCTTTTTTTTCATTGGAATTTTTTGTCCTTCATGAGATACTCTCTCTAGACATGACCAGGCGGACACAATGTCCCGTGGCAGAAAATTTCATGCAGCTCCTTGTAGGCGAAGATGTCTGTGTGGGAAAATCTGACTCAAATATTAAATAGTAAATAATGAAAAATTCACTAGCTACGAAGGACCACCACTTTTTGTGAAAAAGTGGAAAACTAATGAGAGCAAGTGTATTGAAATTAATTCCACGAACTAGTGTCCTTTGGATTTTAATATTAATGTATGTTATCATGAAATACGAGTCAAATTCGCTCTCACAAAATGGGGGGTACAAACGGTACCCCCGCTAATAATGGAATGGGAAATATTCCGTTATTAGAATATCCTTCGTAGGGATACGCATGTGCACAACTCCAGCAGGAGTCCCGAGCGTAAAATAATTGATTTATTTGAGGTTAATTAGGGAAGGAAGGGATTATGAAGAGTATTTACTTCATAAATAAATATATTGTAATATAATTTTTCATAGTGCAAATTAGTTTATCAAGACTCAGTAAAATAAACGAGAGGAATATGAAGTAGAATTATTTTACACTATAATATTTTCCACTGGAGTTGTTAATCTAACTAAATAAGCGAGTTCCAGTAAGCAATAATATTCTAAATAAACTCATTAATAAACGATTTTCCTGAGAAAAGTAAATAACTGGACTCGGTTATATCCAACAATGTGTGTGGAGATATTCCCGTGGCTGGCTGACAACACCTCGTAGCAGGAAGGATTTGGCAAAATATTGCGCAGTATGAAAATATTGTTAAGGTTAATTTTACAAGTTAGTAATTTTAGTAACTATTTGTTGTTAATATAAAGATGTATTAAAATACAAAATGATGAATGAAAACTGTTGGTTATTTCCAACAGTCCGACTGTGATTGCTCGTGGATACAGCAACACCCCCTGATAACTCTCCTCAGCTACCACCCCCTAATGACTGTCCTCAGCTACCACCCCCTGATAACTCTCCTCAGCTACCACCCCCTGATAACTCTCCTCAGCTACCACCCCCTGAGGACTCTCCTCAGCTACCACCCCCTGAGGACTCTCCTCAGCTACCACCCCCTAATGACTGTCCTCAGCTACCACCCTCTGATAACTGTACTCAGCTACCACCCCACAGCACTGCCACCTCCTTTAATACTCCCCAGAACTGTCACTTTTATCGTCTTTACACACACAACCCGCCCAGAATTTTGTGTTAAATTAAAATTTAAAAAGAGCATTGCCTCAAGAGTTCTGATATTGTATTAAACCGTTTATTTAATATTATTTTTAATTATTTATTATATTAAAATTAATATCTGATATTCTATTAAACAGTTGATGAATAATTTGTCGGGAATGCCGGAGCTGGTCTCTGTTCCCCTAAGTAAGCCTTTATATGGTCTGGACTATAAGTTAATGAAGGACTTGTTAATATAAACTGCTTCCTAAGGACGAATACCTTCTTGGGATGAAATGTCATTAATTATACAATTTATTTATGTCTGCAAATTTCATCGCCTCGTTGATGTTAAATCCACGGCCTCAGAAAGGATTATTTCACGTTTCGTAATCTGTAACATGTATACTGATTATCCTGTCATTAGTTGAGTTATCTTAAGACACTCCCTTAATACAGTGAGTTATGAAACTTCGCAAACTACTTAATATTATTCAAAACTGTCCTGGAACTTTTTCCTCTAAACTCTCAGCAATAACGTCAAGATTACGTCGAAGTAACGTTATTTTTCTTCTGATAAATTATACCGCCAGATATATACACATGACGTAATGTTGTGTTATTTCTTCTGTGGTTGTTGCTCTATGTTGGCTCACTGTTCCCATGTGGGAGCCTTTGTTCAGGACCTGCTACCAACCTTACGTTGTGTCTACCTTGTGTAACTTCCGGGGATCAACAGCCCCGTGGCCCGGTCTCCGGCCACGTCCTGCTCGGGGCACAACCAGCAGGGATTTCCTCGGCAGCAACCTCAGGTAACAAGAGCTGTTTACAGTGACCAAGTGAGGAAGGTTTGGGTCGTATTGGCATGCAATTCAGAGTTCGGCTCCCCGCTGGTCATCCGGCAGGCGTGACAGGAATGTTAGAGGTGTGTGTCGTCAGTACATGGAGCTGACGCTAGTGTACATGAGGTCCGGTACTCGACTTGAGTTCGCGATGTTTGGTTCACCAAGGACTTAGCCAGATAACGTCATACTATATTTGCTTTGTGATTCAGTAGGCCTGATGTTGTACTAATATATATCTCAGTTAATTTAATTTTGTTTATTTTCTTGCAGTACTAGAAGATATGTTTCAAATAATACTTAATACACTTAATGTATTAAGGGAATGTCTAAGATAACTCAACTTATGAAAAGATATTAAATTTTCGGGTTATAGATTGCGATTTCTGTTAATACTGAAATATCCAAAAAAAATTGGATTTATATTTTTTAGATAAGTGTGAATTATTACACTTTTAAATCTTTTTATATTTTGTCATGTGCAGATAACATATTTTTCTTTGAATTTGACACAAACGTCTTGATTTATATTAGTCTTTCAGGTAATGTTTGTTAGAAGAATTACGGGT